CAAAATCTTAACGACAGGAAGGCTGTAGGACCAGACAACATCCCAGCGCGCTTCATCAAATTAGTTGCGGATATAATTGCCCCTTGTCTCTCAAGATTCTTCAATTCCTCGCTGTTACTTGGAATCTTTCCTTCATCTCTCAAAACCGCCCGGGTTATTCCTCTTTTCAAATCTGGAAATAAAAAATTAATTTCAAATTATAGACCAATATCAATCCTCTCAGCAATTGATAAAATGTTTGAGCGTTTGTTACATAAAAGACTCGCAAATTTTTTAACTAAATATGATGTAATAAATAAATATCAATTCGGTTTTCAGAGCAATTATTCTACATCACATGCCATTTTAGATACAGTATCATATATCTATGATAAATTGGAAAGAAAGGAGTATGTCAGTGCAACTTTTCTAGATCTAAAGAAAGCTTTCGATACTGTGAATCATGACATCCTGATTTCTAAGTTGAGGCATTATGGTATACGGGGAATTGCAAGCAAACTCATTTCTAGTTATTTGAATAATAGATCTCAATATGTTCAAGTGGGATCATACTGTTCTTCTCCCTTACCGGTGACGCACGGAGTTCCTCAAGGTAGCTGTTTGGGCCCTCTCCTTTTTCTCGTATATATTAACGACATAACTTATTGCTCTTCATTATTTTCCAAATTGTTCGCTGACGATACTAATCTCCTTGACAGCGACAAATCTTGTGCAGTTCTTCAGTTGAGAGTAAATACTGAAATTGCAAAAGTGTCAAGTTGGATGAAAGCCAATAAATTAACACTAAACATTGAAAAATCAAAATCTATGTTAATATCTCCATACCAATGCAAATCGAAAAATGTTTTGGAAATCCAAATTGATAATAAAAAATTGGAAAATGTCCATTCCTTTAAATATCTTGGTATATACATTGATAGTAAAATGAAGTGGGATATTCACTTGTCCAACCTGGCCGTTAAATTATCCAAGTCTGTTGGAATGCTATACAAGCTTAGAAGATACACATCGCTTACCACCTTACGCATGATTTACTATTCCTTATTTCAAAGCCATATCCAGTATGGCATAATTGCTTGGGGTTCAGCTGATAAAACCTTATTACACCGCATTGAAATTATTCAGAACCGAGCAATTCGTGCAATTTCTGCTGCCAGTTATATTTCACGACTTAGTCCTATTTATCATAGTCTTAAAATTATTAAATTAGCAGATATTTATGAAATTGAGGTATTGAAAATAATGCACCAACATCACTGCAAAAAACTCCCTTCTGCTTTCACCAACTATTTTTTAAAACAGAGCAACGTTCACTCTTATGAAACGCGTTCCTCTGTCGGGTGCTCATATTATGTAAATCGCTTCAGCACCAAACGAACTCAAAACTCGATCAAATTCGTTGGTGTTAAATTGTGGAATAACCTCCCTAATAACATTCGATCCAGTAGTTATAATTCTTACAAACATGCACTGAAAAGCCTATATCTTGATGCCTATAGGCCTAGTTGTCATTGATCTGAAAACATTACCTTCTGTTGTTTTCTATATCCATCCATCTTTTTGAAACTTGCCATTTTCTTCTGTCTGCATATTGTGTCCTGGTATTTCCTTACTATTTTCAGCCCAGTGCAATCGACACGAAGTATGCAGATCTCATAATTCATTCTGCACTAATCTGTAGAGCCAATAATTTACTAGCAATCGCTTTAACAGAAAATAGCCACAAATTCAACCCTAGCAGCAAACTCCCGTTGCTGGGTACGCCATCTTGGTGTAGACTGAACGCTGAGTCATAACGCTATTTCGCTGTGCTCCGTACTCAACGAGGCATAACCATTTTATAGATGTCGCTGTTGCGTCCGTCATGACATTCCGTGGTGTATTTTCGATTTGTTGATGTTTTTTATCTGTCTTTTTTTTATTTAAAAGTAATCTTTTTTTTTCCAAAGTCATTGTGGCATTCCGTGGTTTATTTCGCATGTTTTGCCGCTCTTTTTCTTGTATGATTATAGCCTATTTCATGTTTGTTAATCATTCCACAGGGATTGTGGCATCCCGTAGTTACTCAGGTTTTTTTTTGTTGTTTTTCACTTTTCGAATGATTGTGTCCAATTAAGCCAATGTGTAATATTGAGTTCTATTTATTTTTTTTTTTGTCTTTTGTATGATCGTGTTAATTTATTAAGGTAATGTGTAATATTGAGTGTCCCGTTTCTTATATTTGCTGCTTAATTTCAGCTACAAGGTGTCGCTGACTAGATGACTCTATGAGTCTTTTCGCGACTCCGCGTCAACTGCAACAAGCCGATATCCATTTGACATTTTGTTACATTATATTATTTATTCATTTTTCATATCGCGCATTGTTTTTTGCATGACGAAAATAAATATCTGAATCTGAATCTGAATCATGGAGAGTAAGCTCCGATTCAGTTCTGAAATTAGGAGAGACGGAAGAAATTGGAGAAAAAGATTTGGATTTCCTTTCTGGAGATGTCGTTAAAGTTAAATTAGGATCAGGATCGAACATCCACGTAGCCTTCATGGAGAAAGATATTCCGATTTCATTCATCGAACATCTTCGACTACCGGCAAGAGTAGTGAGTGTTGATGACGACTTGGATTTTGAGTTACAATATGACAACGAACAAGAAGTAGCTGTGAACCCGTCAATTTTGATGAAAGTGTCACCAGACGAGGCAGAAACCTACAAGGATATTCGAGAAAGAGTCGAGTCATTGAAACCCGGGGATTCGGTCTACCTCGATGTCGGTCCGGCGAAGTACGTTCGATCAATATTAGCAACAGAAGAATTTGATCAAAAGGTTGTTTCAGCTTTGACTGAAGCCTCGACTCTCGTGGGCTTCACCGACTCAAAAACAGCAGTGATTCAGTATGAAAACGGAAGCCGATACAAAATCAATAAGAAGTATCTCACTGTCCCAGAACGATACGGCATCGCAATATAGAAATCAGATTTTCTGATTAAAAGACTGAACATTTATATTATCCAAGAATATTTGCAACGTAACGTTTTATTTGAGTCGCTAATGTTTTTTTCTTGCTCCTCACTGAAACAAAATGGATTCCCGTCGACGAAATTAATGTAGTCTGTAGGCGCCAATTCGCCATCATTTTAATTCAAACATACAACCGTACGCTTCGAAATTTCTCAGACAGCTGTAGCGCAACTTTTTCTAAGATTTTCGCTTATTACTGCAACTAAACTACAAAACCCCTTCTGAAAAATGATCAACTATTTTTTTAATCCTACCTAAATCTGGTAAACATAACTAAAGCCTGACAAATAAAACGGAAACTACAAAAACGCTTCGATGTTTACAACCATTCTTGAAAAGCTAAGCGGCTCCACAATTTTATTTATTACCTCACTGTTGATTATTGATGATCAGATATTGTTATCTAACAAACATGGCACTCGTTGCTTGGGAAACATTGACAAGGTTGAGTGGCGACCAAGATTTCCAGTCCCCTTTCTCCGGGATAAGATTTATATATACTGTACAAGTATTTTCATTATCGCAGTAATATTGTTATATTTTCTTTTACTCAAATATTAAAAATGAAAATTGTAGTGCAATAATTATAGTGTATATATACTGTATATACACTATAATTAATGTAACCTCGTTGTTTACCTAATATTTTTATGACTATGAGAATAGTCCGCAATATCTTAGTTTTTCTTGTTACATTAGTTCTCACCCGATGAACTTGGATAATATTATGTAACTTAGTTTGCTTAGTGTTCAAATATTTGTGCATTGATTTGTTGTTTATAAATATTCCATTCATTCACATGGATAATCAGACAAATACAGATTTATTTACCAAACTTGTGTGTGTTTGTCGTTGTTGTAAATAGCTCATTCGAATAATTGATGGTTCACGTAACGCTGGTCGGTTACGGCCCCTTCACCACCGAGTCATGCTCCCGAGAACAAAAAATAACTGACGAACTAATCCCATACAACAGAAGTGTGCAACTTTTTTTATTGGCGGGCCAAATACAAGAAACTGGGTGAAGCCGCGGGCCGCACCTTTATTTAATTTAGGCTTTCTGGTAGTTGCAAGCACAAAAATTGCTTATATTTGCTATTGATCTTATGGCATTATTAGGGGTTCTTGCAGAAATAGTAGATTTAAAACGCATAAACTTCTGAAGAAACTGCTATTTAAATTTTTTGTCACACCGACTTCAAACGAATGCAGTGAGAATCACGTTTTTGTAATATAAATCGTGTATTTTGCAACAGAATTTTGCTAGCTTGTTTTGCTAATATGACTGATATGGGCTTTGCGACGAAAAAGAATAAATACTCGTTTTGCGGGTACACCATTCGAAATTGTTATTTCTCCGCGGGCCGCACAACTTCTTCTTGCGGGCCGCAGTTTGCACACCCCTGCCATACAAGACATGGACCGGTCTCACAGGCTTCCACCCACCCCGGGATAAATATGTAAATCATATCCTTGATTGCACCAAGTGATGCTGTACGAGTAATAATGCTGCTTTGTACTGGAGCACAGCAACTCACCTAATGTTAAGAGAGTCCATGGACGCCGAACATGACAAAATATCAACGTGTTCGGCTAAAATTCTCCTTGAAATCGCAACTCTCCAAATCTCCCACCTTAACCGAGGTGCAGTTGTGCAAGATGATGCCGGACCTCCCAAAGAAAGGCAGCGGTTTAAAATAACACTAGATAATAGAGGCTGCTTTGTAAATGAACCTGAACCTTACCTGGTACACATACTATGTGCAGGTTGTGCGTCATCTTGATGCACAAACTTGGGGTCATAACCCGCAATGAATTTGCACCAATTTCGCATAAAGCACTATATCTATTGTACTTCTTTTGAGACTTTTGATTGGTGCACATATTTCTGGACGTCCGAAAAAGTGGTACAGAGCTATTTTAAGAAACCGTCAAACAATCACACCCCATTACAAATCTGAACTTTACTGAAGATGAGAATGGAACAAAGTCGTAAGTACCACTGACAAAATTGCTAACCGTGCAGTTATATCATCAACAAATCGGCAGCCCGATATCAGACAGCGTTTGCTTGCCTAAAGCCTTCTATGAGCATAAATTGTTCGAACATAATGGGATTTGGAATCCACCAACCAAATGAACACTATAAAAACCGCTGAAATGATAAACAGGGGGCCATGAGTGTAAAAGCCTCTTGAATGGGGGCCACGAGCCATAAAAGTTCGGGAACCACTGGCTTATCGCAATTGAAATATAGGGCTACAAAGGGGGGGGGGGGGGCACGAGCCATTGGAGGTTGCAACCACTGTAATCAATGATATCCTTATCCATTTTGAAATAGAAAACCAAAGTTTCCTTGATAACTAAGGCTAAATTAACAGTATCATCAAGACAATAGCTGAGGCTCAATGTAAAGTCAGTGTGGAATAAACTAATATCTACAGTAAGGTATTGCCATGTTATAATAAAAACTTCCTAGCAAAAAAGATTTGTTGCCCTAGCAACAATGTTGCTATGGATACCAGCATTACCATAGAAACATAACATGATTGCTTATTTAAATCTTTGAACAATGACAGCGTTCAATAAGTTTCCTTCTTTTAAGGTGGTTTCATCGTCCTTGAGTTCTTTGTTAGGAAATGTTGTCATTAAGACAAAATTTCTCGATTCGCTTGAACGATTTCGTACAAAAGAATACACGTCTGCCACCTGGTGGCTGTGGTTGAACTTTTGTGTGACCCTTGACCCATCACCGAGTTGGACTCGTATTGTCGTGACAGGAGAAGATTCGTTAATGATTACTTCTGGGTCGACTGATGTCGTTTCTGCTGGTTTCGAAGGAGGAGTAACACTTGATACCACATTTGGTGTGATGCCACCAAGTGTATGACCTTCACCTGTATTTGAAATAGGAAAAATTTTTGAATTTAAAAAAACACAATTTTAGTGAGGGCGGTCGGTCAATGCAAGGAAACAATCCTTAATTCAAAGTAGAATGACAGAAGTGTCAACAAAGTCAAAAATGTTTGTTGGGTAAATTTTGGCAAATTTTGGGTAAAACAAACTATGTCCAGAGTCAATTCGGGAGAAGTATAAAAAGAATAGCCTGCTAGCAGACAAAAGTTTTATGTGTTGTTGTATTAAATGAAAACCAAAAAGTTTGAGAACCGCTGTTCTCATGAAAGCAGGCATAATCAATTACCTGTGAAAGCTTTCATTTTTTGTTTCTCTGGTTTATAATCTTCATTCTTGTGATCTTCCATGTCCAAGTTGACTTCACCACCTTGAGCCATTCGTAATAATTCCTGACAAAAATAAAATATGAAGAACTTGAAGGGTTGTTGTTCAAATATTATACAACTTCAGAGATAAGAGGGTGAAAAAAAATAAAAAACAGAGCTCATTAATTCTTTTAAATACTTTTTTGAAAACTAAAAAATTTATTTAATACTTAAACTTCCAGTTTGTGGATTATTATAGCCGAAAGCTACAGTAATTTGGGATGCTTTGCACAAAAGTTATGTTTTTTCTAGGATATGTTCCAAATCTGGGTGGGGCAAATCACCCCGCATCCGTCCCACTCAAGTGTTTCATCCGGCCCACTTGTGTCAGCTGAAATTATGACTAAAATATTATGTATACATAATATTTTGTTAAAAATATCGATGATAATGATGTCATAATGACCCCGATTATTCCACTGTGCTTCTTATTATTATATGAACGTTACCCAAGCTATTCTCTATTCATAGTTTTTCATATTGAATTTTGAGCCTATTGCCTAGTAAGCAAGTCTACTACCTGTAACTGGCCCAGTCAACAAAGTAACCCGACACCTGTTCCAAATTATCTGGGTTATATTTATTTACGTCGCCCTGTACTGAAGATTATATAAAATTTTACGCTCCAAACCTGAGGTATCTCTCCTTTTCCTATTGCACCCAAGAATTCTTTTGTTTCTGGGTCGTGGTAGTCTCGTAACGGCCCGTCCCCAACAGTGAATCCATTTTTCCACAGTTTCAGTACGACGTCTAATTTGCGTTCCTCTGGCTTCTCAGCTCCTGGTATGAATTCATGGTCTTCAGCCTCGGCTCCGAGCTTATAACCACCACCCGTGAAATACTTTTTGTCTGTGGTGAATATAATGAAGAAATAATAAGAGGGTGTGCAACAGGCGGCCCGTGGGCCACAATCCGGCACACTGGGTTGAATCTTTCGCCGTGCTCCTGGAAGTCAGACCCCCAAAATCTCAGCCCATGCCAACCATCTTATCCAAGATGCAATATATTAGGCAGCCAATTCTGAAGCTGAAAGATTCTATTAGCTCCTCCCATATCCTTAGATATCAGTGACAGTTTCAGGAAAGTAGCCAGAAATTTTTAAATGTGGGATTTTGTAATTTCTAATTCGCAAGTCAGACCGTAACAGCTAGCAGGTCTGGTTAAAAGCCAGAAAACATTTGTTTTTAGTCTTGAAGGTCTAAAAAGTTCCTAACTACAAAAAAATCGTTATGTATGATACATGAAAATGCTTTTTCTCCCATTTCAAGAGGGGGCTCTGACCCTCAAAACCCCTAGATATACCCCAATTTACCAAAAATATAATAAATTCAGGCAGGCACTGCAGGTAGATTTTGGTCGCCCCTTCCATATCATTACATATTAGTGATAGTTTCAGGGCCGTAGCCATGAATCTTCAAAAAAGGGGTCTTCAAATCGCCAAGATAGAAGAACTTAACAACTAGTGGGTCCAGCCAGAGGCTTTTAATTGGGGTTTTTCAGTCTTTAGGGTCTAAAAAGGGTTTCAAGCTACGGAATCGCTGTGAAAAATGATTTTTTAACATTGCAATAAAGTTAAAAGCTTTCTTTACCTTTCTTTTTCCCTGATGAAGATGAAGCTTCATCCACAGGCATAGCTCCATGTTTCTTTGCGTTCTTAAACATTTTTGAAACAATATCTTCGCCACGTTTCTTCTTTCCTGGACCTGAATAATAGAAATATTGATCGTATGTTAGAGCAGGGAGGGTGAAGTTACTCTGCTGCATTGAGAAAATTATTTAAATTTTTTAAGACCATATCGTATAGCAGGGATGGGCACTTATTTCCTTAAGTGGACAACTCATAGATAATAAACTTGGTACAGGCAATAAGAGATTTCAGAAGCCCCCAATTGGAAATTCCAGGCTGCGCCTCCGATTGAAGGTGACATTTTTGCCATATTTTTTTTTCAATAATGGTCAACAAGTCCATTTGATTATTACCTTGGTATCTTTCCCATCTGAGCTATCTACCATTGCATATTCGGAATATGTGGGGAGTTATGGCCAACATTTTGTAATTTTCGTCGATATTTTAAACAGAAATCTATATCCATAAAAACTATAGTCGTAATTTTAGCAGGCAGTGGTTTAGTAGTAGTGGGACAGATGAAACACTTCGGTAGGTCAAATTTGGCCTGCGGTCCGTAATTTGCCAACCCTTGTTGTACAGTTAGATGTAAAAAACGTTGTTGACGTTGTTGAATCGAAAATAACAAAAACAAACATTTATGTTGTTTAACAATTCAATTATATTTGGAATAAAATTGCACGTAAAAGAGAAAAATTTGAAACTATACTAACCTACGATAACCTCTCCACTGTGTTCTGAACCTCCTGCATAATATTCCTGGCCCTCTTCCTCACTGTCATCACTTTTACGGTCTTCCGCTCGGTCGTAGTCCGCTAACGATCGAACCGTGAGTTACTAGAGGTACCTGATGGTTTGCTCTGAAAAATTTATGTATTGTTAGGGACTTGAAGCTCTGCTCCAAATATGGCTCTATGAGACGGGAAGAAAAAAGGGTACTCCCGTAGTATGTGAACCAGGTTAGGGTAGGGCAATACTACTGTATTGCACCCTAACCTGGTACACATACTATGTTCCGGTGTCCGCCATCTTGGTTTACATACCAGGGAGTGCCGAAGAAAAAATTTAATATGAATAAAAATATGGGGTGAACAGACAAAATTCCCGTTCGAAACGATTCGTTTAATTTGCTATTCAAATCTGAATGCCCAGCCTTAGACATGTCCCTTCTAATTTGGCACATCCTATTCATTTTAAATAGCCCTATAATATCAAAGATGCAAGGACACCTTTGCATTATCTCCAGCCACCACAAGAGTTGGATTACATGAATCCTATTTATAATCAAAAATAAAAATTCATGATTACGTTTGTTTATTACATTCAATTTTGGCAAGGCTTGTTTATAGCCTTCATTGAAATAAGCCCACATGGAGCTGGAATAAATAAATGATCTTAGGCAGAGGGATTGATGGTTGGACCCCCCTTTTAAAAAAAAAAGAAAAATTAGTTAAAGATCATAAATATCAATTTTTCATAGCTTGGAACGCATTTTAGAAGATTTCTGAAAACCCACTTGGAAAATCCAGGCTATGCCCCCCGATGTAAGGTGACAATCAATCATCATTTTATTCGTCAGCACAAAATAAGAAAAAAAAAAAATTCAAACACAATAGGAACTTAACTTAAGTGACAGGAGTCGTAAGGGACCTCATAAGGTTTTCAGGCAGCTACACATTAACATTTTTGCCATTTGCTATATTTTTTTTCAATAATTTTCAACAAGTCCATTTGATTATTACCTTGGTATCTTTCCCATCTGAGCTATCTACCATTGCATCATGAAACTCATCATCTTGCTCAGTGTTACTGAGTGATGCACCTGTATAAATTTAAAAGGTTAAAAATCAGCTGAATATATTTTTCTGATGTAAGTCTAATATGGTTTAAAAGGGTTACGACATCCTGTGAAATATCATTATCAAACAATGAAACTGGGAAAAACGCTTTTATCACTCATGTCCACCTGTTTATCCCATGGCCCAGTGGTATTTATAGTGTTACTTTGATTGGTATATTCCAAATACCATTATGTTCAAACAATTTGTGTTCAACTAAGTTATTAAAAAAAATCCTGTGAAATAACTTTATCAAACAATGAAACTAGGAAAAAGGATTTTATCACTCATAGCCCCCTGTTTATCATTAGATTAGTATTTATAGTGTTCTTTTGATTGGTAGAATCTAAATCCCATTATGTTCAAACAATTCATGCTCAACAAAATGAAGATATCCTGTGCAATATCCTTATCAAGGAATGAAACTAGAGAAAGCAGTGAATTTTTCGTTAAGATAAAAGTAAAATCAGTTTTTTCGCCAGCAATGTCACATGCTTTCGTATGATAACCTCTGCTCTGTAGACCCACCAGGTTGAGGTATAGCAGGTTCAGTCTCCATGAGTTCCGGTCCCCCTGCGTTGTCATAGAAACTACTCAGAGCTAAATCAATCTCCCAGTTTGCACTTTCGAGATAAAAACGAGAGCGATCGTCGTTTTCATTTGTAACTGCCTTGAATTGCTCAATAAGGGAATCATGATCAGCCATTTTGTGCCCAAACCTGTCCAGTTATTTTTTTGTGATATATTTTTTTATCTAGTAATTTTATCTAAAATAAAGTAAATATTAATTTAAAACTTAAATGCATCATTTGATAAGAAAATACAGCTCATAAAAAGAAGAAAGCTCACACTGCTCAAAAAAGAGATTAAAATCATTTCGAAGTTGAAGAATAGAGTTGAATTAAAATTGTGCAAAGTGTTGGAAACTGCTTGTTTGACAAAACTCGCAAATTTGTGAAAGTGTGATAAAGGGGTACACTTGAAGTATGCGCACCAAGATGTCGCATAACCTGAACCCTGACCTGGTACACAACCTGAGTTCAGGTTGCGCGCCATCTTGGTGCCCATACTTCAGGAGGTCCGATAAAAGATATTTGAACCGGGGGCGTAAGGGGAGAGGGGGTGAAATTTCTGATTGACAAGTTAGACCATAACAGTTAGCACGGCGAGAAAATGTCGAATTTATGAGTCTTGCGGGTCTAAGCAGTGTTTTAGGCTAACAAATACAATACATTTTTGGGGCTCCCGAAGTATGCGAACCAAGATGGCGGACATCGGAATGTAATATGTGTACTAGGTTAGGGTTAGGCCCTAATTTAAGGTATAAATACTACGGGAGGCTCTTGGCTAGTCTTCGAACTGATAATAGGACTAAAATAAGGAAAATTGGAAAAAAATTATCGCTTAACTCTAACCTGTTACCCATGTTACGTTCCGATGTCCACCATCTTGGTTCGCATACTTCGGGAGCACCCAATTTTTTTTATATTTATTCCAAAAGGGGGGTGGGTTAGGGTTCCGGCTCTCAAGCCCCTCCTCCCCCCTGGCCATGACCCTCAATAAAGTTGGTTTCATTCTTGCTGTAATTATGGCTATGGTGTCAGAGTATGTTCAAGATTCAGGAATCAAAGTCAAAAATTTGAATTTTCGGGAAATTTATATTTTCAACAGTTGATATATTATTGAAAATTCAAAAAGTTCAAGAGTTCAAAGTCAAAAGTTTATTAATAAGTGTTCTTAACAGTCTATTAAAGGAGACTAGTCAATGTCAGTCATATTTTATTGAAATTTGAAGGGCTGGAGACAGAAATTTCTCCCAACCCACAGTTGGACACAATTATAATTTTCCTTTTCTCTAAAGCCTGGCTACAGTTACTTGTAGTTGGTGCATACACATCTATACAAAGGTAGACAGAAAGGAGCTGTAATTAGAAATACAATACCCTAATCTAGTGCTCTTCAACTGGGTGTACCACCCAAGTGTATACCGGACCATAAGTTGTGTATACAACTGATAAAGGGTATACGAAAGGTGTACATCCAAAGTAAGGAATTATAAACTCCAATACAAAAAATTATAAAATATTCAGGTCGCACATGAAATATAAAATGTCATTTACGCGAAGAACCAGCGTGAGCACATTGTTACATCACGGATTATATAGATAATGCGGTCACGTGTCTGAAATTATAAACTCCAATACAATAAATTATAAAATATTCGCGTCGCACATGAAATATAAAATGTCATTTACGCAAAGAACCAGCGTGAGCACATTGTTACATCACGGATTATATAGATAATGCGGTCACGTATCAGGGTTGGTGATTTCGGCTCACATGCACTTCGCTTGATTTACGTTGAACATTATTCCCGTTGCAATAAGGCCGTCAGTCAAATTTATAACTTGCGGACACTAGCCTATTAGATTGTGTGATAATATTGCAGTACAATATGTGCTTATAATTTTTAGGGCCTAAACAAACATTGGTACTTGTAGTAAGGTACCGGTATACAAAGTTCTTGAAAAATTGTAAAAGGTATACCACGATAAAAAAGGTTGAAGAACACTGCCCTAATCAACCAGTGCAAAAGTTGACCAATATTTAGAAACTGCAGATTGGATGATAAAAATCAATTCAGAGAACGTTAGTTAGCTACCAAGCTAGTAAATAAATTTTAAAAATAAATAAAAACAACTTGAAGCAAGATTTTTTAAAAATTCATTATTTGGTGTTGAAAACCATATACATCAGCGATTCCCAACCGAGGGCCTGTCGCTCCCCACGGAGGCCACAGAGCAATGGAAGGAGGGCCACAATGCTAGGCGCAGAGTTAATTTAATAAGATTTCCTTTCACAAAAAAACTCCCCGTGCTTCCAAGTTTATTGCGAGATAAGGTTATTTCACAGTGTTGAGCGGGAATTATTTGAACATAATGGGTTTAGGAATCTACTACTAATAATAACACTATAAATACCACTGGAATAATAAACAGGGGGCCATGAGTGCTGAAAGCCTTCGAAAGCCACGAGCCATAAAAGGTTGGAGACCACTGATATTCATACACCATAGCCAGGGATGGCTTTGGGCTTTTTTAGACATTCCTAGTATGGTACAGAAATGGAATTAGTGAACCCGTTTGGTATTCAATTCACTAATATGACACAATACATATCAATTTGAGCATGTTCTAATTGATTTACGGTAATTGAAAATAATCTGTGAAGAATATGGAACACATAAGCCTCAAAGTAAGATATTGATGAAAACGGCTGTAGCACACCACCGTATGGCATTGTTTTTAGCTAATGAACAAATAATCACTAGGACAACATTGCAAGAAGCAGTGCTGATATGTTTGACTTTCTTTGAGAATAACTACTGTAGATGCAAAAAAATGGTAATTAATTCTATCAACATAAAACTTAATAAGCACACAATAACATAATGGAAAAGATAAAATTCTGAAGTACAAGGTAAAAGATAGATATCATAAATATTATTGTGAAATTAAAACAAAAATCTATAACTGACCGAGACCATAAGTCACGACTGCTTATACAAAGCTTTGCGCAAAGATAGAATGTAAATAAATTTTATCACCAACTGAATTTGCAAAATCCAAAATTCTGCGTCTAAAAGCAAACCTCAGACTAATGCCTCCCAGGGTCATTACTAGGGCTGGGCATTTCGAATCGAATAGTAAATTATTTGAATCGGTTCAGAGCTAAATTTCGAATCGCCGCCATCTTGTTTTTATCTTTCCGCTAATGGTCGAGGTGAATTCCCCAATTTTTTTCTCATTGGAGTCATATTTTTTCAACAAAATTCTAACATATGACTATTTTCTGTAGTGAGACTGTAGTGAGTAATCTATCTGAGTGATGTATTCTATGTCTTCAGTAATTCATTTGTTGAGAGGACCAATTACTATAAAAAGTTGCTTACAATTATATATTTTCAAGTATTCGAGATTCTATTCTGAAATCACAAGGTATTCGAAAATGCCCAGCCCTAGTCATTACTAGGTCTAAGGGTGGGCAAAAGGGGCAAGGTACTGCATCAAGAATGGGCAAATTACGACCTGCGGGGCGCATCTGGCCCATTTGTGTCTGCTTAAATTATACCTATAATTTTATGGATATTAATTTCTGTTGAAAATATTAGCAAAAATAGCGTGTCATAATGACCCAGAAGGTTACATTGGGCTTCTTATTAATATATAAAAAATATAGACTAGTTGTTGGACTAGATTTTGTAATCAAACTGTTTTTATTTATAGTTTTCCATATTGAGTTTTGGTCGAAAAACTGTTTTGTATTGATAATTTTTCATATTGAGTTTTGGCCGATAAAACATTTTTTCATTCATTCTTTTCCATATTGAGTTTTGAGCCTTCGACCCAGTAACCAGGTCTATTACCTGTAAGAGGCCCCCTCAGGAAAGTAATTGTCCACCGGTGTACTAGGTCCACTAGAAGTTGTACAGAGCCTCATTCAGAGCAGAACTAATCTGATTCTCCTTCATCTGTACTCTCATCATCAAGTAAACTTTCACTCCCACAATTAAAAGGAGTTAGTACATATTGAAGATTTGGTTCTTTGCGTATTCTTGCAGCCCATTGGCCCCCTCCAATCGCGACAAATTTCGTGAGTTGGCAGTCTTTGATTTCATTCATTACAAAATCTATCGCCTCGTCACGGGTCATTTCAGGGTTAAGATGAAATTCTTTAATCTCATCATCGTGTGAGAATAAGCTTTCGTTTACAAGCCAAGAATTATTTGGAAATTCATCCGTATTCGGTTTTTGATAATGCTTCATTCCTGCTCGTAATTTGATTTCATTTGATTCAAGATTTTTGTGTTCATGTCGATGTCTTTTCCAGTTTTCAACCTGACAACTTCTACTGCAATAATGTTTAAACATTTCGTGGGTTTTTAGAAGTCCTAATTGCTTGCATCTTAAGCATACTTTGAAAGGTGTGGATTTTTCTTTTTTCCCACAATGTCCGCACAAAATGGTTTCTTTGGGATCGATTCCGTAACGAGATATTGGTGAACGGTTCAGCTTTGCTTCCAGTGCTGCAGTGCCCAGAGTTTTTGTTTTCTTTTTCACCAATTTATTGTCCATTATATATTTTTTAAATTAATAGTAATATTAAAAATAAAATCTGAAAACAAGAAAAAATTAAGCATGAAATATTTCAAAATTATACTATACATGCAGGATGCAGATTTCACGATTAGAACATCTATAAAAAATTCTAAAAAAAATCAATGTGCACACTGAAATTTCATTTAATGGGCGATGAAGCATGTTTGGCAGAATATATACAGCCTTTTTGTAACATTGGTGTTCTGCCCACTGTTTTTACATTCATGAAAAGGGTAACGAAGCATATCAGACAGAATCTACACAGCCTTATTATAACACAATTATTCCGGTCACCACTTGACAACACATAATGGAACAAATATATTTACAAAATGGGCAATAAAGCATATTTGACAGAATGTACACAGCTTAATTATAACATGATTACAAACAAAATAGAACAATAATATTGTGTTAGTGTGCAGCTGGACTCTTTAATTGGATAGAATAGTCATGTTTATTCCAGCTACAGTATCCTTGCAGTATACACATACGGATCCACTAGCATAAAGACATAGAGAAAAGATAGGAAGTTGTCTCGCGCAACCCAACTCAAATTAATAAAATTGACACTAACAAATGGGCGATGAAGCTTGTCCGACAGAATCTACACAGTCCTATTATAGCACCATTATTCTGCTCAATGATTCAGTCACAAAAAATATAGAACAATAGTATTTACAATACTCTCATCAAATTGGTAATGAAGCATATCAGACAGAATTTACACAGCCTATTTGTTACATGATTATTCTGCTCACTGATTTTTACACTAAGGAAATGGGTAATGAAACATTCCTGACAGAATCTACACAGTCGCATTACAGCATGATTATTCCGCCTATCACTTTGATAAACAAAATACAGCGAATGATTAATGAAGCATATCAGACAGAATCCACATAGCCTTTCTATAACATGATTATTCTGCTCATTGTTTTACCACAAAAATAAAACAATAATATATATTTACAATCATTGTCATTAAAATTCATCCTTGGAGTTTTACAAAATAACAGCAGCAATTGTATGTGACCATCTTAGTAAAAGGAAATCGCCATCTCACACATAAAAATAAGTGTAAGGTGTCCATAAAATCATAAGATTTTTTAAATTTGCAGGGAATTTATCGATACCATATACTGTTTTGGCCCTCACAGATGTATTACCGGTAAATGAAGTAAAAATACTTGAACAATTACTGAAAAAAAACAACAAATCTGTTCAAGATATATTGAGAACTGACTTCATAAGAAAATTAAAATTGTAAAAGGACTTTATGGACACCCTGTATATTTGCCATGCATATGTGGGAAAAATATAAACAGCAGAAAGCCCATTACTCCCAATACGCTTAGAATACAATTGTAATTAACATGGCTTGCAAAAAACATACAAATGATATTGATAAAATCACACAAGTCTAAATAGTTGAAAAAAAAATAGAACAAACATTAGAAAGACGATAAAAAGGGGTAAAGATGCTCACAAATAGCACCCAAAAAAACAGTTTATATAAAATATGGGTTCAAATATTGGGAACAAGAAATCCATGGTTATTTGCTCAAAAAAAGCTTCTTAGAAGTGAAAGAGACTCTCTCAGAGTCAGAAGTCAAAGTTCCGCGCTCTCACTCAGAAGAAATGCAGACTCATCTCTGAACAAAGTTACAGGGACTCAATTAGAAGTAATGGACACTCAACTCTGAGCAAAGATATGGCAACCATTGATATGCTAGAATAACCGAAACTATGTAGAATTATGGCGAAGTATTATACAGTGATAAATTATTCAACATACATGATTAATTGAATACATACAAATGGCATAAAAAAATGAACATGATGCACATCATGAGTTTATTTAGACTCATTTCTAAATGCAAAGCTAAATATAAATAATTATTCAGCCTAGTTAACCCGAAGATTCAATTATTAGTCAACATGCAAAAAAGGCAACTTGCAAATGTTTTCCATAACATCTTCCATAAATAAAAACAATAACACATACCACATATCCTCGCATAAAAGCCGAGTTTGAAACTCAAAAAAAAGTTGCCAAACTAAGGGGTTGGCTCATTTGCGCATAACTCCGATCACACGTAAACGACATGACATTATAACTTAATTCCAACTGCTACAACTCAAACTGACAGTGATAGCGTGGATTTCTCTTGGCTCAGCGGTGTGGCGCATCGTGCTAAGCGTTTGGAAAACGCTCGCCACCGCATCTCTGATTACACTTCGTGGTTTCGCAGGTTCGAATCCCATGCGGGGATGATCATGTGCGAGAGGATTGATGGACTTCTCGCCGCCGTAGGGTGGTTCATGTAACCGCTGGTCGGTTACGGCTTCCTCCACCATCGAGTCTATGCTTCCGAAAAACAAATAACTGGCTAACTAATCTCATACCCGACCTGGACCGGTAACCGGACGAGAGGCCGTGGTTCGCCATACGATTGAGCTGTCTTATCGGCTTTCCTCTACCCCGAGATAAATATGTAAATCATTCCTCCCTCTTCTGCAACCATTTGCTGTGATAGGTGTGTACAGCGTAGGGTCAGCTTATATGTGAATTTTTACACATTCATTGTTTTAAGGGGTCGGCTTATATGTGATGATATACTGTGATTAGGAAAAAGTGAACACAAAAGCAGTAAAGTAAATAATCGACAATGCGTTAAAAGGTTTTTTTTAAACAAGTTTGGGTCAAATAAAGCCAACAAGGAAATTTCATATTCATATCTCCTGATTTACATATTGATTCAGTTTGAATTCATCAAATGTAAATGAGAGAAAAGCAGAAATAATATACGTCGTCGATTTTACATAACATAAAAGACGATAAAATAAAAACTAGAAATAAAATAGATTACAGAATCAGTAAAGCGAACAAAACCTTTCGAAAGGTTTAAAACATACAGATTTCAGATTCGAAGGTGTTATCAAAAGAACAGGCACGAGTTCGCTCAACCAAATACCTACATCTCATATGTCATAGACTGATCAGAGCAAGTTACAGGCAGACATATAGATTTTCCAAAAGTTTTTAACATTTTTCTTAAAGCTTAGACAGGCACGCCAGTCGACATCGTTGCCGGCGGCTGATGAAATACCAAGATCCACTGAAACTACATAGAATTATGGTGGTGTCCTATGTATCAGTAAACGCCGGTTAACACAAGAATTTAAGCAGTCTTGAGTTACTTTATGCGGAAAATAAAAAATCGTAGCAAAATGTAGTAATTAACAATATTCAGAAACTTCATTAGCAAAAAAAACATTGATTATCACACAGAGAATCACATTAGATTTAAAATTGGATAAAATGACAAAAAAATATTTTAAAAAGAACTATGTACATGGAACAATTATAGCAATGAACAATTTTAGTGTTTAATTCATTTCAGTGACAATAAATGAGGCAAGTCAGTGAGGGTCAAAAGAGAGCTGTACAAGGTTTGGTAGCTAGATATGAACAGGAAGTTCCGAATGATGAAAAACTGCAGTAATTGAACTTTGAACTGTAAATTCTGTATCACGGTTGATTTCACATTATTCGATATCAGGTGCTGCTTCTATTGCAGGGAACTTGTTTTTTTTCAAATTTCTCAAACACGAACTCGGATCCTGTGAAGTAAAAAGTAGAATAAAAAAATGTATATTTATTAATAATAGGTTACAGCAGTGGTTCTCAAACTTTTTAGCCCTTTTTAGTGTTTGTCTCGTGCCCCACTCTTCAAAAATAACTAGCTAACAATAAGCTATAAATAACAGATAGTAAGGCGAAAGTATGTCTTACGCAAAAACACATGGAAAAAACGTGGATGGAACGTAAATATCCAAAATAAAGAAATGTAAATATTCAAAACAAGGTGGACAAGATCAAATCTAAAAAATATTTTTAATTAGTTTCACCCCCCTCAAAAAATTGTCTGCACCCTGTTTGAGAACCACTGGGTTAAGAGCAGGGATGGCCAAAATCGAATAATTCCTATTATGAAATAAAATGGATGAGCTTCTATATAGATCTCGGCTACGATTTAACAGACTCTGTTCCCAGCAAAAGATGAAATTTGCCTTTTATTGGCTGTAGTCGTAGACTTACAAAGAATCCATTAAAGATATAATTTTATGCATAGGAACAGAAGAATATAAGAGTTCAAAGTAACAATTTATCTAAAAAGATTGGGAAGTACACTTTATTAGCACTTCGATAGTCGATTGCAAATCTTTCAAGAGTATCGTATTCCCTGTGTATAATATGCAAAAGAGGAATGGAAACCTCGATGTGCATAATATGATTGAACATCGAAAAATTCTCGCTTCCAATGTGCTAAAATGCACATGCATTTATCTGTTGGTGTTTTTTTATGAAATATGATATTTTTTCTACTTTGGCTTGGGACATTACCTACCTCTTTTACAAATCTCTGTAGTCTCATCGCATAGATTGTCGTGTAGATGTAAAAACCATCCCTAATTTCAATTAGGAATCCAAATCTTCCAGGGGCCAGGATAAGAGGTTTGGGAGCCTCATTATTCCTTTTTTTAATTCGTTTGCTCTTTCGTGTCGGAACTTTGTGGCCGCTAAGCCATAGTTGATCTGCCGGTGACACATATTTGCCATCACGGGTAGGAATACCCATAACGAAGGTTTTTGTTTGTGAAGTAAAAACGGATTGCTTTCGCAAATTATTTTCCCTTTCTTCCCTAAATTTTTGTCTTATCAATTTGATAGCATGAGGGAGTTTTTCATCAGGATATTCGTCCCCACTGTCTTCCCCCATAATCACTTTTTTGATTTGAGGAGCAGCGTTATCAAACGCTCTTTGAAATTTATTAACAGCTTTTTGTCTCCGTTTGAGTTTCCTTTTTTCTTTAACAGACTGATTGCTCGTGGTATTTTTAGAATACTTGACCAATGCCGCTGACTTCTTAGAGGTTTCAGCCGGTCTCGGATTCAACCCCTTCGAATTGTACGGCACTACCGCCCCAGCATTTGAGGGATCTGTTTTTTTTTCGCTAGTCTTTGAGCGGACGTTCTTTTTATTAGATTTAGCAGCTTTACTATTCCCAGTATGAGGAATTCCACTAGCTTGGGGTCTTCCTTGTTGATTTTCATTATTTTCGGTGCTGTTTGGGTCGATTTTTGGAGTAATTTGAATTTCAGTTTTTTTGGTGACGTTTGGGTCGATTTTTGGAGTAATTTGAATTTCAGTTTTTTCGGTGACGTTTGAGTCGGTTCTTGGTGTAATTCGGTTTTCAGATTTTTCTATGTCGCTTGGGTCAGTTTTTGGGGTAATTTGAATGGGTCCAATTTTTGGAATTGTTCCGACGATAGCATTAGGTGGAGTTTGTTGATTTCTGCCATTTTCGTTATTAATTGACGACGCTGTTGGTGCACTCGGAGTTGTTCTTATCGTATCAAAATCCAGTGGTCGAGAGTCATCTTCTTTCTTAGGAAGAATTTTGCTCATGTCAAGGGATGGTTGGTTTGAAATGAGTTGCAAACTCTCATCTGAACAAATATCTCCGAATTCTTTCGACGAATTCAAAACTCGAAATTTTCCACTAGATGGTATCGTGTGCGAGCCAGGTTGATCAATAACAGGAATTGCAGAATTTTCTGAATGTTCCGGAAAACTGGTTTGTTCTGTCGGAATTTTCGATATCAAAGTTTCTGGAGATATTGCTACATCTTGATTGGTGGTTTTTGAAATCTCTATTCCTGGATTTTTTTGACTTACTTCTGGTCTAGCTTGACCTTTAAATTCACCATGGACTTGACTTTGTGATTGGTCTGCTATTGATAGATTTAGAGATTCAATGGATCGAGCAGTTCCACTTATTGCAGGTAATTGTGATGTCATATATTGAGATTGTGAGTTTACAGAAGAAGACTCAGATGCACCACTTTTTGCACGGTTATAAAAGTCTTTTTCAAACTGTGTTATCGGCATAACTGGATCGTTATGTGCTACTGCTTCAATAGCAAGTAGTTTTCTATCAGACTCATACGGTACCACTCGTGTCACTCTGAAATTTACTAATTCCCCAATTTGTTCCCCTAAGGTGCTGTCCATTTTTTGAATCGAAACCTGAATCCTTTTCCTTATCTTGTTTACTTCTTGACTTATGGTGAATACTTTGACCGCTCGACCTTTTATGGAGGCTGGTCGCTGCAATTCCAAACAAGACCATTCTTCTACGTAATCCATGTACGTAGCGTATGAATGAAACCTTTTTGTGGCATCCCTAGTTTTTTCGATATATTGTACAATGTCACCCACTGTTACGTTTTTCTCTTTTGCCTCTTGAACGTCTTTATCACTCATTCCAGGGAAGTGTTTTCGTTGAATTACTTCGTTTGGTACGGATTCGTCAACAGGTTCAGGCATCTTGTCCGCCATTTCTTCCCAAGTTAGAAATCGCCCGTTCCGGTTCAAATATGGGTTTCCTTCAGAGTCAATCAGAACGGCTTTTTTTCGAAATATAAGATATCTCCTCAAGCATTCAGTCAAATATAGTCTTCTAACTTCAGCTCGACTAAGTTCCTTTCTTGAGGCGCATTCTAACTCAAAAGTGTCCTCTAAATGTCCAGTTTCGTTAGCTTTTCGCTTCATTTTTCCGTTATACACAACCATTGATCTATCAATAAGTCGTGTGACAGGGCCAGATGGTCTATTTCTTGTAACAATCGATGAGCTTACATCTGTTGTGTGTATTTTCACCTTTGCCTTTTCTGTATTATTTGAAGAATTGACATTTGCTGTTTGTGAGTGGGCCGGTGCTTTTTCAGCAATATTCTGTTTAACATTTGCTGTAGATGCAGTAACAGGTACTTTTCCTGTAATATTTGAATTGTTAGTTCTTGCTGTAGACGTAGTGATTGGTTTTGAAGTTTCCGCACAAGGAATATCAACTTGGACTGCAGGTTTTTTTACTGGTATAGAAGATTTGACAGTGTCTACATCAGCTGCAACAGTGACTCGAGTGGATGATGTGGCCGTGACAGTGGAACCCATAGGATCAATATTCGAAGAAGTCTTGGATGTTGTACTGGTAGTTACTTTTTCTGTTGTAGGTGAGCCTGTTACATTGGTATTTCCACTCAATTTTGTTGTAGTAGGACTTACAATGCCTGGTTTGCTTCCGTTTGGAGAAATAGTAGCACCTTGGGGTGAAGATGTAACCTTCTGAGTCGCTGTAACTGGAGCAGCTTGGACATTGCTTGTAGATAATGCTTGTCCTGGGGTTTTTGTACTAGGTGCCGGTTTTGGAACTGTTTTATTGGTGTTCACGTTTCCAATGGGAGAAATTACAGTTTGATGTGTAACTTTCTGAGTCGCTGATACTGAACCCGGGTTAAGATTGCTTGCTAGTACACCCTGCTGTGATGTTATCTTTGCTGGAATTGTTTTACTAGGATTCTGTGGGACTGTTTCCTCAATGTTTACGGCTCCCTCAGAAGAAATGGAAACAATTTGAGGGGGAGTTACAATTGGCGGAGGGACTGCACCTAAATCATGCGTGGAATTGTTTAGAGCAACGGACTGGTCCAAATTCTTTGCTGCTGTAATTGCCATGTAAACTGCATCAGGATTTGGGAGATTCATTCTAGTACTTTTGACATATGAATTTCCACTAGACAGAAAAGCACCACTTAGAAGTGGGGATGCAGACTGCTGTGGTAATACAGCTGTCCCAGAGTATACATTGCTTGCAGATACAGACTGCTCCAAATTCTGTGTTGCCACATTTCCCATAGTAGCATTGGGATTCTGTGTTGGGGTGGTTAATGCAGTATTTTTGATGTTCGAATCTCCACCAGATGGATTAGCACTACTTTGGGATGAAGATACCACCTTCTGAGGGACTACAGTCGTACCAGGGCTGACATTGCTCGCAGATGAAACTTCAGCTGTAATCTTTGTGGCTGGAATTTCCTCTGGAGCTGACTGTTTTTGGACCATTGGCACTGTTGTCGATGGTGCGCTCTCTGGTGCTTTTGACGGAGCGTTTGTAGGTTGGCTGGAAGGTGTAGACATAACTTGCTGTGGTATTACAACTGGGCCAGGTGCAGTACTTTTTTCAGGTACAGTCTGCTCTGAAATGTTGGTTGCAGAATTTTTAACAGCAGCTGCAGAAGGAGCGGCTACTGTAGTCTTATTGACGCTTGTAACTCCAACTTGAGGTGTAGAAATAACCTGTTGTTGGGGTAGAGCTGGTCCACACTGAACATTGCTTGCATACGACACTTGAGCTGTAATCTTTGGGGTTGGAATTGCTTTTCCAGCTGTGATAGGTGCCTGTTGCAATACTTCTTTCGCAGTTTTTGGCTGTACGTTTCCAGGCGCCTGATTTTTTGGCAGAACGTCTGCAGGTGTAGGTACAACTTGTTGTGGTACTGTGACGATACCTGGATTGCTACTTTTCGTTGTTGTCACTGTAACAGTTGGCTGTTTTGAGACTGCTGTCGCTGTTAGTGGCAACACGCTTCCAGGCATCTGTGTTTGGGCAATTGTTGCAGCTTCGCTCACAGGTGTAAATGCAACTTGTTGTGCTACCGGGCTTGCAGGTATAGCTTGCTCTGAAGTCTTCATAGTTGGGCCTGCGTTTGTTGCTGCAACAGTCATCTGTTTCGGGACTACCACGATTTTTGACGGAACATTTTCAGGCCTTGCTGATGTTGTGGATATAATGGTCTGGGGGGCTGTATCCTTAACATCCATGATTTTACTTGTGGTAATAACAGTGGCACTTTGAGGTGCAACATGCTGTGTTTCTGCGACTTGGCTGTGGATAGCGTTTTTTGAAGTTGCAATCTGGTCTGGGATTCTTGTTGTTAAGCTTGCTTGTGGTGCTGCAATCTTGACACCTTTCGCTTCAGTTGCATTTTTAACATTTTCACTTGACTGTTTTGCATCCATTTGCACAGATGGCACTGATTGGCTAGTTGGATTAGTTGTTACAGTTGATTTAGGAGCAGCTGTAGTAGCAACTTTGCCTGTTGCTCGATTAGCAGATTCTTGACTGCTAGAATTTTGTGCCACGGGATCACTATCTTTCGAAATTGTGGTTGCAGTATTTTTGGCTTTTGCAGCTTTTTCTTTCTTTTTTATGGCCTCAATATCAGGTAAGACAGCCTCTTTGAAAGATGAGGGATCAAGTGGGGGCATATTAGCGGCTTTAATAGAGGCACGTAGCATGTCAACTGGAGTAAATTCACCACTTTGTATTGCAGAAACAAGATGTTCTACAGCGAAAGCCAATTCAGGCTGAAGACCTTTTGTGTCTTTTAATATTTCGGCTGCCAATTCTTCCTGAGTTTGCGATGGCTGTTTTGATACTTTTTTAGAAGTATTCGCTCGTACGTTTTTAGGTTTGCTTGAAGGTCGAGATGCAATCTTCTGTTGTACAGCAACCGGACCAGGACTGCGACTGTTTGTTGTCGCAACTACAGTCGCTGATTTAGACGATGCACTTCCAGACGCCTGCTTTGAGTCTACCCCCGTACTTTTTGGGGGTGCGTTTCCAGATTGGCTTGAAGCAGGGTTAACATTATTTGCTGATGAAACTTTTGTTGCAGTCTCCTTCACGACAGTCGGAGCAGATTTTTTGCTATCGGTGTTGTCCAAGGGCTTAGCTTGACTTAGGGCCAATGGTGCTGCTTGGTTTTTTGAAACTGTTGTTGCGCTTTGGCTAGATGGAGTATTTTCCACAGATGTACTTTGTTTTGTAGTTGTAGCTGTTGTCACAGTACTTGTAGTAGCTTTTCCTTGAAGTTGAGTGCCAGGGTTAACATTGTTTGCTGATGGAACTTTTGTTTCAGTGGGTGTTTGCTTTACTGCCGTCTGAGCAGATTTTTTGCTATCGGTGTTGTCCAAAGGTCTAGTTTGATTCTGGACAGACGGCAGTGCCTCGTTTTTTGAAGCCGTTGTTGCATTTTGATTAGATGAAGCAATATTTGCAGATGCTTGTTTTGAATTTGCTGTCACAGCACTTGTAGTAGCTTTGCTTTGAGTAACAGATTGAATATTACTGGTGTTTGAAGTTGGCCTTGCTCTGGTTTGTAGTGGGTTCTGAATTTTTGCCGGTGCCGGATTTATGTGCACAAATTTTGAAACGATGTCTGACGCTGACAATACTCCGCTCCTTCCACCACCAAGTGTTTGACTTGTATCAATCGGTTCATCATCCGAATCCAATTCAATGATTTTGGGTCTGTTTTCCGCATTAAGAACTTTTTTCTTGGGTCTTGGTATCGGACCTCTTTTTACGATAATATCAGAATTCGGTTCCATACACATTTGTACGACTCTTGAAATATCGTCATTCGAATTGACGCTCATAAAACGTGAACCAAGCTCCTCGTCATCAGCAGTTTTGCTCACCCCACTAGCTTCATTTCGAGCTTGTGCAGCCTTGAGTTCTCGAATTCTATTTCTGCTTGAAGGTTTCATGCGTTTCATATACTTTTCTTTTTCTTTTTGTTCCCTTTCTTGACTTGGAGTACGAATTTTAATGACTTTTATCTCACTCTCGACATCTTGAAGCGCACCTATATTTCTTTGCGGCGGGTCTCCATTATTTGCTTTTGCTTCGGCCCATTTTTTTGGCAAATCTTTATCGTTTGAAATAATTGTAAGCTCGCGAGGCCCATCTTCTGGTTCTGGAGGTGCGGGTGGCAACACCTTATCCGCTTCTTCTAAAAATTTATCCATCCTTTCTTGAGTGAATGGTATTCTTGCACGAGGAGAAGAATCCTTAGTAACTTTCATAGTTCTAGTCCCATCTTTTTTAGCCGAAAGTTCCATTCTTAGTTGGCTAGCATAAAAAGTAATAACTTTTGAAGGTTTCGAAGAAGTCTTAGCGACGGTCTGATCTCTACCGCCATCTTTCTGTAAATACGGATTCGGTTTTTGTGAAGCTGCGCTCTCTGCTGCCGCAATCGCAGCAGTATTCGGACGCTTTTTCAATAGTTTTGAATCCTTCCTGCTACTTCTTGAACGAGCCAATGCACGACGCTGGCTTCTTTTCATTTTCACGTCTTTTCGTTGTGTAGTTTCTGGCTCATCTTTCTTTTCAGCATCCTCGTCCCACTCATCGGTCATCGTACTAACATCAATTTTTCTTGTGGGTGAAGTCGCGGCGTCTTTACGCTTGGGATTCTTTACAGAGCTTGGTTTTATTTTACTAGGTGGCACACCATCCTTACCAGCTGATGTTAAAGTCACCCAATTATTTTTCGGATAAACAGTAAACTCCTTTTTCATTTTCGGTTTTGAACTTTGACCTCCGGGAGTTGTTTTGACGTCGGGAACAGTGCTGCCAGATCCATCATCATTAGTACAAGTTGAAGTATTAACGCCAGAATTTAGAGAACCTGTGTCATCCCCGACAGCGGTTTCTTTGAACGTCTTTCCTTCCTTGCTCGTTGCGCCTCGGAAAGTTTTTGACAAAGTAGGATCGTAATCATAAACGATTTCCACTTTGGGTTTTTCAGTTTCCTCACTTTTCTGAACAGCTTGTTCAGCTCCTTTTGACACATTTTGGGAGAGACTTACTTGTTGATCCCCCGTTTTAGACTCTTTTATTTGTTGATCCCCCGTTTTAGTCTCTTTTACTTGTTGATCCCCTGTTTTGTGTCCTTGCACTGTCCCATTTTTGTCATTTGTCTTCTCAGTTTTCACTGCAGCATCGCGGGAATTTCCAGCCTCATTATTTTTTATCGCAGATCTCAATTCCGCTGCCTTTTGCTGCCTTAAACCTTCAATTTCCTCATACATGACATGCTCAGCACGGTGACGTTCAACCCAATGGGATCTTTGACATTCCCGGCTGCAGTAATAGTGATATATTGGCGCATATTTATTAACATGAATCTGTTTGCATCTTAAACAAGTTTTAAAACGTTCTTTGGGGCCTTCCTGCTTCTCACAATAAGCACAGAAAACGTAAAATCGCTGAACATTTCTACCATTATCAACTCCGTAGAATGAAATCGGTGATTGGTTCAACTGTAGCTCCAAACTTTCCATGGTTATCTTCTAAACCGGTTTTAACCAGTTCTTTTCTACTAAACCGGTTTTAACTAGTTGTAACTGGAACCATTACAATAAGGTTCAAACCATACATACTTTATCTAGTATCTCTAAATAAAGAAATAACATTTTAATTATGTAACTCAACGTACGGAAATAGCAAAATAGAAAGAATGTGACAGTAGACAAGGGATATATACAAAGGATATGAATATACGTAAAAAAAATAATATTATTTGGAAAAGGCATTTCAATACATGTTAAATGAGTTTGCTCTCTGTAAATCACAAATACCGGTATATCAGAAATTCTAGAAATTTCATTTGTATGGATCTCTAGTACACAAAGACATGCTCAAATACTAAAGAATATGTGATACTTTATGCCTGCAAACTTAATGACTAATGAAAAACAATCCTTTTTACATAACAGTTATTCAGACAGAAATTACTGCAAAGTGAAAATGCAGCTCTTGTTTTTCATCAGCAAGTTTTTGAAATGGCGGTGTGGCTTTACTTAGCAAAATAGATGCTGCCAAGTTTTTACGCATTGATACCCTCCCACATATCCAATTACTACCAAATATAAAATAAATATTAAAATTTACTAGAAAATAAAATTAGTATGAGCATGACATCACGTTAACTAAGTCCAACAGCTACAACTCAAATTTGCTGTGATAGGTGAGTACGACATGTTGTGATTTGTAGCGACGGCATATGTGCGAATTTTCATAAATTCACCGTTTCTAGAGGTTGACTTATATGTGGGGATATAGGTACCAGTAATCACTATTACACACGGGACTGCCAATTTTTTAGTTTGTATGAATCAAAAGTCAATACACAGGGGACAACAAACAACAATGATCATGCAATTTACCATACACAAGCACAACTTGAAAAACCACGAAAAGGCTGTAGATGATCATCTATATATATACAAATGACGTCTCTTATAATAAGGAAATCAAAAAATGGAACAAAACACAATACTAGAATTCGGTTGGAAACCGAAGACTTAACGATCGGAGGTTAGGGGATCCCCCAAAACAGTGGTCTTACTCCATAGTGACATATTGCGTGCATCTAACAGACAGACAGCCAAATACCTATCAACATACTTACCGATTAAAATCGATAAGTAATAACTAATTTTGTTCACCTACTTTACATTAGTTGTGTGAAAAGACTGAAACTAATGAGCAGGGGGTATATTCACTTGGCTAACACAGACAGTCTCTGAACTCGTAATAGAACTGAAATAAGGAAAAACGGAATAAAATTATGCCTTAGCCCTAACCTGGTACACACACTATGGGAATACCAAAAATCCCACCCTAATATTAAAAAAAAACTATATTCAGCTTGGCTGAAATGCAAACAATAACAAAACGAGAATATCGGTCAGAGACCCAAGACTTATCGATCGAAAGTGGGATCCGCCAAAACAGCGCTCTTACTCTATAGCGACACCTTGTGTCCCATCACTAATTATTTAATAACTCGCTAATTATACGACATAATTCGCCCAAAATCAATAGGTTTCTGGTCCGAGATATGATGAATGCACATGCAAAATCTGGAGCAGATTCAATCTCGCTTTCGTGAGATATCGCGTGCATCTAACAGACAGACAGACATACAGACAAATACCTATCAACATACTTACCGATTAAAATCGATAAGTAATAACTAATTTTTTTCACCTACACTATGAGAATACCAAAATTCCCACCCAAATTTAAAAAAAAAAAACTATATTCAGCTTGGCTGAAATGCAAACAATAACAAAATAAACATTATTCGAACAAAATTTGCGGAAGAAATATATATAGGCTATCATAGACCAGTGCTTCCCAAACTGCGTTAACGGTTTGATATGGTAGCCAAACTTGAGTAAAATAGTATAACACTTCATTTTTTACCTTTCACGCCAATTGTTACTTCATTATAACAGTTCAAGCATTGTATATTCGAATGCCGGTAGCTTAATTATACAGGCCGACATCGACCCCCTGCGAGTGCTACCTTATCTTGGCCCAGGAATATTCTTCCGCTTCTAATTATGGCCCCTCGTCAACCAACTTTGGGAACCACTGTTATAGTAACAAATTTAAAATATTTCAGAGTGTGATGCTACAGTGGGAGTTATTTCATTGAAGAGTCTAAATTCTAATTCCAGGTAGTGAAAGTAGACAGCCAACATGAGACATTTAATAATTTAGAAAAAAGGTTGCCACCTATCTGATGTAAAAAGGTTTGCTTTTAAAAAGCCTTGTATACAGATATAGAATGGAAATAATTTCAAAAAATGAAATACAAAAACAGTTTCACTTCTTAATGTCCATCCTCATGGTCAGAAAAACCTTCATTGTGAGTATCTGAACATTGGGATTACTCAGAGTCGCAGAAAAAACCTGATTCAGCAATTTTTGCAAAAAATCTGGGGTCAATAGGTCGTTGTGGATGCAAAGATTCAATAACATAATGCTCCATTCTGTGGCAGAGTTTCCATTGCGCTATCTGTAAATGCCAATAAAAAATGTTTCATTGCATGATACATGGTGTCTAACTGAATTGATAATTCGAATCAATTATATTCAAGTTTTTGAATTCTTGACTTCAGGAATTATTTGGAAAAGTGATACAGATTCAAATCTAATGCAGGGATGGTTATGTACGCGAGGATTGCTGGACTCATCGCTGTAGGGTGGTTCAGGTAATCGCTGGTTAGTTATTGCTTCTTTCACTATCAAGTCCATGCATCTGAACACAGATAACTGGTTAACTTATCCCATACCCACAACATGGGCGAGAGGCCGTGGTTCGCCACATGATAAAGCCATCTTATAAGCTTTCCTTCCCCCATAATTAGCCAGTTACTTGTTTTCAGGTGCATGGACTTGAGGTAGCCATAACCGACCACCGGTTACGTGAACCACCCGGCGAGGGTCCAGCAATCCTCTAGCACAGAATTTCCCGAACTTTTCGAGCCGCGTACCCCTGTTTGTCAATCTTATTTTTTGACGATCCCTCATCCCATGTTGTATCAATTTCTGAGCCTGACTAATTAGAAAGAATATTGTTTCCTTCAACGAAATGAAATGCATGGAAGTCTGAACCAATACATACTAATGTTGAATGCTGCCAGGATAACGACAATTTGTTAAGATTATAATTTATTTGTATAAGTTTTAGACTCTTTTCATATCGTTGCGAACCCCCTGTGCAGTCATCACGAACCCCTGCTCTAGCACATTATTACCCCGCATGAAATCCGAAACTGTGCCGGGTAATCAGAGGTGCGGTGGCGAGCGTATTACTAACGCTTATCACGATGCGTCACACCGAGACCCTATAAAGAAATAAAGGGGCTCCCGAAGTATGCGAACCAAGATGGCGGACATCGGAATGTAATATGTGTACTAGGTTAGGGTTAGGCCATAATTTTAGGTATAAATACTACGGGCGGCTCTTGGCTAGTCTTCGAACTGATAATAGGACTAAAATAAGGAAAATTAGAAAAAAATTATCGCCTAACCCTAACCTGTTACGTTCCGATGTCCGCCATCTTGGTTCGCATACTTCGGGAGCACCGAAATAAACAATAAAACTAACATACCTGGCATGCTTTGCAGCAATAATAATGAAGAAATGGGTTGTTTTTCTTGACCCCGAGTTGTACACATCGCAGGCAAACTTTAAAACGTTTCTTCGATTCAGTATTATCACACCACTGACACTTAACAGGGGGGTCATGAGGCTTCGGTGGGACGACGTCAATTCCATAATTTGACAATGGAGATTTGTTCAATTTTTTTTCCAGAAGGATTATAGCATTTTTGTCATTTTTTGACAAAGCCATATTCGTTGTTAAAGTAAATATAATCTTATTGATTACTTTTCTAAAAATATACATTGCACTCTTTATTAATTCAATATAGCTAACTAAGTATAGCATTGATTGAATATATACATATTATAAAAATATCACCTATCATTATTCTCATATGACTGGAAAAAATTTGAAAACATAAGTAAAAATGTTCGAGTGGCGACAACAGCTACAGTTTTTCGTGTTATTTGTCAAATTTCAGTAGTGTTCCCAAAAATAAGTTGCAATAAAGTATTTTAATTATCATTATGTCCTCAGATGATCTTTAGTTTAGTTGCAATAATCAAAAATTAGTCACACAAAAGCTGCGATAGACCAAGTTGAAATTATCTATAAGTACCTGTGAGCGACATATGATTGTATATTTTTTAATAGTAATTAATTTTAAAATGCGAATCAGTTTATAAGTGTCACCACTCCAAAACACTGTGAAATAAACATCCAAAATTTGGCAATAGTAAAGAAGAATTTTTCTGGGGTCAAAGAAAAATCCATAGACAAAAGCGAATTACCACTAACACCTTCTTAAAACACCATTTCACACTTGATTCAACATAACACCATTTATGTGCTAGGTTTACGACAAACATCACCATCAAGAATATTTTGAAGAAAAATTTCACGTAATAAAAATTAGCATTTTCAGTCCTTTTTAGATTTTTGTGGTATTTCTTCTGTATAAGCACTATACACCCAAAGTCCCAGTATAACATGAGTAATAATAATTGCAACAACAGCTGATGGTACATTACTATCATCTGATGACATTTTGAAGATCTTTTCAAAAACTTGTTTTTTTGCGATATAATATGAAGAAATAGGTGCAACTAGCATTACAGTCACAGTAAACAGCAATTTAAATATTGTGTAATTTGAAATGAAGCTTCCTTCGTTTGCTCTGTTTATTTCTGCTTCCGCTTGCTTCGCTAAGTAAGATCTTCGTTCTCGCAGAGAGTCAGTTGTTGGTGATGACATATTTAATTAACAAAAGCTAGTTTAATTGAAATAAAAAACACTTCTTCTTATTAGGTGAGTGAACATGTACCACTTCTTTTTGGCAATACCTCCCATCTCATATTCTGTACGTTTTAAACCTTGTCCAAGGTTTTGTTTACTGTCCATATTTCATAATCAGTTTTTATTTCTTTGTTTTTATCAACCATTTTATCGCCTTTTTGCTGATTATGAAGTCGAAATATACTTATCTTAAATAGGGCTTGTAGGCAGGTCAATCACTGCTAAAAGAAGTGTGGCTTCTATTTAGAGCAGTGGTTCTCAACCTGTGGTCACGTACCACTAGTGGTACGCGGGAGCTTTTCAAGTGGTACGCGAGCAGATTTGAATTATTGCAACAATTAACCTTTCAGTTGGCTAAAATATGCCGGCAACGCTTTATCTTCCTTACTGTATGTATTCGCTGAACAGCGTTTACAGGTTTATGGATGTTTCCCAAGCATCAGTTTCCTTGTTTATTTACGTAACTATACCCAATCAGCAATAAGTCAATAATGACGCAACACGTAACAATTGCAATTTCTGCACCCAGCCGCTCAGAGACTTCTGTCGCTCAAACAGATATTCAAGAATGGTTGCAAACATTGCTTCGTTTTCGTTTCATAGTTTTGAGTGATATTTGTCAGTTTTCAGTTGTGTTTTGTAAGGAAATAATTATGAATTAATTAACTTAATTGTCATTAACGGTATGTCTCCCGCGGAGCTTTACTTTAGTTGCAGTAATCAAAATTGAATCTTGCAAATGCTGCGAAGGACAAGGCTAAACTTAGTTGTATCAGTACCTGCGAACGACACATGGTTGATTAATTTTTAATAAAAATGATGGTTTCAAACACGAAAACCAGTTTATATGCGCCAAAAACATCAGAACGCTCTCAGCATAAGCATAAAGTGTGCAATAGTAAACTATAGGTGTAATTTTTCCGGGGTCAATGGTCGGGTAAACGTCCATAGCGCTGGTGCGTTATCAGTCCATGTCTTTAGAAATCGCACTCGCCCGCTATTGCCCAGCTTAAAAGTGGGGATATGGGCATGTTTTCGTCCATTTTGCGTGCTACGCCACAAAGGATGTAGTGCCATATTATAAAATACTTCCATAGTACATTTCTTGTGTCTCTAAAGTGGTACGCGGTCAGTAAAAGGTTGAGAAGGCACTGATTTAGAGGGTGGCTGAACAGGGAAAGTTGTAAAACAGAAAAAAACTTTGATAACAGAGCTAGAACAATGATTATTTCCATGACAGTACTACACATGAAATAGTTCTCAGATTCCAAGAAGGCCCTGATATTCAGATATAGGCTATTAACAAACACACTCAATTTGAATGAGGATGGGATTTACATATTTATCCCAGGGGAGAGGAAAGCCGATAAGTCGGCTTATCCATTAAGGCAAACCACGGCCTCTCGTCTGGTT